AAGCTTCGCTGAAAACCTCATTTTAGTTCACAGTCAAAAGCAGTTTAAGACCTACTCCCTACTCATACTGAGACTGGAGGTTACATTGCAGGCTGACTTCAATTAAACGTGCACTGAAGATAGTAGCATGAATCTAACCTCCCAGACCTACTTGCAGAGTCAAAACCGTCATAGTGATTATCGACTGGTATAGATACTGTTAAGCATATAGTGATAATCCATGCCGAGTCATACTTCTGAAGCCAGCGAGTTCAACTATATAATCTCACCATGCTTTATTTGTGTCATCCTAAATCCATCATTAAAATTCAGGGACGAAACGTTTTGAAAGAGATAGCCTGGGAGTGAATAATAGAGAGATATTAGCAAAGGAACTGCAGGGCAAAATGGGAGGAAAATAAAATCGGGTTTAGCTGCCTATGCTAGTTAAAGAGTTTTAAGTACATCAATTTGTCGTTCACGGGAGAAAGATTTGGCTCTTGGGCAAGAGCTAATAGAGTACTTTTTTGACTGTACTTCCCTCCCAACACTTCTCTGGGACTGCCTGAAGTCTCATGCAAGGTTGGCGGAGACGAGTGCTGATGCTGGTGGCAATCCTGAACAGAGATTACGACACGGTTTTCACGGAGCCACGGCCAAAACCCTTAAATGGAAAATTCTTCTGGGGTCATGAGCCAGAAAACAATTTAAAAACGTCTACAAGTGCTAGGAGCTTTATTGACATACTTTGGATTCAAGGTTAAAAATACTAGTCATTTTAAAAAACTCAGTCTACTGTAAACTTCTACTTTCTAGATACTTTATTGTTGTCGGGTTTCATATTTTTCAACTGATTTGTGCTTACTTTTTACTTTTTATGTAAGCAATCATGACTGTTGATTTTAAAAAAAAAAACTGAAAGGGTGTCTGTGGCCCCGGTCACACGGGAGGTTTTGGGCCGGGAGAGGGACAGATTGGGGGCGCAGCAAATGGGTGCGAGCACACCGCAACATCTGGGAATTGGCGTGCACCCGTCCCCGATCCGTCCCTTCCGGCCTAAAACCCGCTGCAAAAAACCCAAGTAAAAGGTAGCACCAACCTGGAATGGCGCAGCAAGTGCGGCCGTGAGAACACCGGTGCGCCCGTCTGCAGGAGCAATTGACACATGCACAGTTCGGCTGCCTCGCTCTCCCTGCAGTGGCTCCCCCCCGGCATCTGATCGTGCCGGGGAGCAACTGCGCGGCGGCTCAGGGGATCTATCTGATCCCGCCGCCGCGTGTCTCTTTTGGTGCGGCTTTAAAAAGCCGCACTTCGGCCGTTCTTTTTCCCCCCGTGTGGCAGGGGCCTGTGTGTGTCTAAAGTGCCATCGAGTCACAGCCGACTTATGGTGACCCCAGCAAGGGGCTTTCAAAGCCAGTGAGAAGCAGAGGCGGTTTGCCCTTGCCTTCCTCTGCAGAGTCTTCCTTGGTGCTCTCCCTTCCAAGTACCGGCCCTGCTTAGCTTCTGAGATGAGATGAGACTGGGCTATGCCAAACTGTTGCCTTCCCTCCCCTGAAAGGATATAAGTACTTAAACTATCCCCCCAAAAAATATATATACCCCTGTTAGATTCAAACACAGGGACTTACTTGCCTTCCAGGATAGTCCCAGATGGGTACCTGTGTTAGTCCATCAAAGAAAAATCAAATAACAGTCCAGTGGCACTTTAAAGACTAAGAAATCTTATCCCAACCAGCATAACTTTGCATGAGTCAGAGCTCATGACAGGGGAAATCTTACAACAGTTCTACTCAGAAGTAATGCTTGTTTTATTTAATGGGGCTTCCTCCTAGGAAAGTTTGTGTTGTGTTTTTTGTATTTTGTTTTACGATTGCATCCTTTGTCAGCTCTGGCTCATGAAATCTTATGCTAGAATAAATTTTGTTAGTCTTCCAAGGTGCCACTGGACTCCTGATATATTAATCTAATAAATTCGTAATGGTGGTCAAAAGCATGTACTCTGTCTATCTCAGTGCTGGAATAAATGCTATTTCTCTGTTCCAAACTCACTGTTACTGATGTGGATTAGAATTTGCCATTTCACTCACATACACTGAAAGGGTGAAAAACATCCACGGTTTCATGATGCTGGGTTACTCTGACTGCAACTTTAACAGGGCAAATTAAAAAAATGTCACCTAATTGGTGTCAAGAGATCAGTCAGGGCTCAACTGTCTGTGACTGTACTGGTAAGGCACCATTTTTTGTGGTTTGGTCTTGTGCTTTTGTGACTATGGAGCCGCGGTGGCTCAAGTGGCTAAGACGCTGAACTGCAGGCTGTGGAAGGTCTGTAGTTCAGCAGTTCGAGACCCGAGTGTGCCGCATGACGGAGGGAGCTCCCGTCTCTAGTTCCAGCTCCTGCCAACCTAGCAGTTCGAAAGCAAGAAATTGCAAGTAGATAAATAGGTACCACTTCGGTGGGAAGGTAACAGCGTTCCGTGCGCCTTGGTGTTTAGTCATGCCGGCCACAGGACCACGGAAACGTCTTCGGACAGCGCTGGCTCTTCCGCTTTGAAACGGAGATGAGCACCGCAACCCTAGAGTCGGATTCGACTGGCTTTCGAGCAAGGGAACCTTTACCTTTTTTTGTGACTATGGTAACACGAAGAAGAAGTTTTTATACCCTGCTTTTCTCTACCTTAAGGAATCTCAAAGCAGCTTACGATTGCCTTCCTTGCCTCTCCCCACAACAACCACTCTGTGAGGCAGGTGGGCCTGAGAGAGAACTGTGACTGGCCCAAAGTCACCCAGCAGGCTTCATGTGGAGGAGTGGGGAATCAAACCTGGTTCTCCAGATTAGAGCCTACCGCTCATAACCACTACACCACACTGGCTGTCAGCCAACCATCACCTG